GTCGTGGATGTGGTGCAAATGGTCTTAAGTGTCGAACGCACTCGACTTGAACGCCCGGCCACACCTAAAAACAAAGACACGTTTCCATCTTCTATTTGAAGATAATATCAAACTTCCTACATTTGGGCCCTGGTTACTTTTGATAACCGCGTTGATCTTATCACGGCACTTTTATGATTTATTTACGCATTCGACATATAAAAGTCATTGATAAACATTGTTCACAAATGTAAATCATCATTAGGGAACACTGATTACGATCCTTTCAGGCTAGATGATGATAATTGACTTACATGAACCACACAGCACGAAAGGATACTAAAACACACTTAAGTGGTTCATTATGTTTCTTATAAAATTATTATCAATGAAGTAACATAGCAATAAGGGATCATAAGCAAACGAGAAGACACTGAAATCATGGCCGCATTCAAGCAGATACAAACCGCGAACCGATCACACACAATTCGAACTCTTTATCAAATGTCGGCTCGGCTTCAATTCTACAGCCTCCTGCCCTGTTCGCTTTTTTTTTTTCGAGGTTTTCTTCAGTCGTGTCCAGCGAAATACGCAACACAACTTTCAGACAGTCCACGATCACCTCTTTCCACATCCTTTCCTAGTCATCATTCATAATAATCCCCCTATATCCAAACTGACGGTCAAATACGAAAAGTCGAAATTTCGTCGCATTTCAACCAATTCAGAAATCGAAATTTTATCCTACTACTGTCTTCTCTGGCATCAAAACCTGTGATCCGAGGTTAAATTCATTTCCCGTGTGTGTTCGTATATGACACGACGAGAGGAGAGGGGGAAAATTCTCCTTCCCACTGTCTCACGCGTTAGGTCCCCCCGTCCAAAACTTCGTCAGACAACGCGGCGTTTCTTGAGATCTCCCCCTGCGTGAAGATTCTTCATCTCCTGGTCTCTCTCTCTCCGACAACTGCAAGTCCTACCCTCTGTAGGCGCAGCACCCCGAGGCTCAAAACAGAATTTAAAACCCTTCGACGTCGGAACGTAATGCGAACGGAGTCATGTTACGTATTAAACAAAAGTTAACCCTGCGACTAATCACAACCTACGAAGAGGTACTGACGGCCAACGTCTGCACCAAACCTCAACAGGCTGCTCTACCACTAAGATGCAAGTGGCACGTCCACTTCCACGACATTATTCAAATATTGAGTGAAGTGGAGGCAGATTCTACACATATCGAATGCCCACTTAGTCACGATATCAATTTACGACTCACAATCGCATGAGTGAAATGTTTAACTAAGCACTATAACTTCTAAGACAATAACATTCTCCATTCGACGGAAAGCGTAGTTTTTATTATCGCATTGTTTAACACTCACTAATGTTCACAGCCACGTGTCATTCGCCATGACACAGTGTTTTGCGAGGACAGCCAAACATTTTAACTCTGTCAAGATTTCAAAGGACTCGCAATGGTGGCATATACGTAGATCTGCCTGCAAGTCCACATGGCGTTACAACCCAGAAAGCCAACATCCAAATGTTCACCGCCGTAAACACTCAAATATCTCATATTTACTCTGGGATTCATCAAAGGCATTTATTTGAATTAGCGTAACTAGTTTCGTGCGAGAGCGTCACATAACTCACTTCCCCCCTCCGGCCGGTATTCGACGAAATACTGCACGCCTGATCAGGAGTTCGATTTCATAATACTCGTATTAAAACGGACATTATAGAAATGTTACTAAGCTGTGGGCCGGATACCCCTGGCTCTGGTAGGGGAATCTTGTTAACGCAATATCGAGCCTTTGGGTTCCATAACAGGCGGGAAACTTCCTGGCCGGGTAAGCGTCTATTAACTTCTCGAGTACGACCCCCCCCCCCCCACTTCGATATTAGGTTGAAAACACTGAGAGTAGCCATTAAAATCGTCAGGCATTCCAACCCAATATGAGTCTCGTGCATTATGGCTGTGCTGGGGGTTAAAACGAAGTTCCATCCGCTATCTCTCGGCGCGTGTTAAGTGAGATTCTTCCCATCGCTAGGTGATTCTCAAATTCCCGTGTTTCTCTCGTCTGTTCGTACGTCCACTCCATTTCTCGCAACGTCGAAGCCTTGTAAACACGGAACAGCGTCTCGAGTTGCCCTAAAACCTGGTCCGGGGTAAGTGCTTCTGTCTACAGGATAACGGCTGAATGTGAGTGGCCGCCACACAATGCACTGACGAGAACAAACAGGACTGACTGCTGTTTCAAGCGCTCGTTCCCAATTATCAGCAGTTGATACTCGATTTTAATGGACAAAACACAAAGAACGCTTTTTTTCAATTTCGTCATAAATCTGTTGTATCGCTGTCCACAGCCAAGGCACAAACTGTAACGTGGCGACCTCTGAAACCACTAAAACGTCAGACTACACGGCGCCACAGCCCAGATATTTCTGTTCTCAAATATTTATATCGTGGCCATTTTAAAATTTAGACTGCACTTTCAGGCACAGAAAAGAGTGCAAACAAATTCTTCCTTTGTTGGTTCACTCACTGCCGCGTCCTGAATGCGAACGGCATGACAACAGCGCGGCACGCAGATGTTTTGTAATCAGGCACTGAAGGTTATGCGGGTGCAGCGGCCAATGGGAGTAACAGCAACATAATCAGTGGGAACTGCTCTGCGATTACTCTCTCCCGAAACTGTCCTTCGGAAACAAATCTATTTATCGTGTTCCCTCTAATTTGTAAATAATAATAATAAAAAACCTGGGATTTGAATTTGCGTTTTTATTTATTTATGTTCTGTCTGACGATGTCGTCTAAAAATCCACGTGACAAAGAGTATTGTGTTAGCACATCGCAAAATTCGTAAATACAGCCGGTAATTCTGATGGAAAACCACACAATCGGATTGGCTGCGGGTCTTGGGAGTGACTGAGAAGAGCGCGCTGCAGACAACAGGCGACGACGCTGTCTCCTTTATTCTTTCCACTTCGACGCACAAGAAACACACACACACACACACACTGCTGAATGGTAAAGTTCACTGAAATTCACTCTAACTGGTTAATTAAATATTTAACTTAGGCGGCAGATATTTTTCATCAAACAGGATGACACAAGACTACAAGAGGCAGGCCGGAGGGCCACGGATTGGGAACCTCAGCTCGACCAACTTAAAATAGGGCAGCGACCGTTTCCTTCCCAACTGAACATTCCTTCCTTGTTCGACGCAACATTTGATTCTACGTTATCTGAGCGGAAAGCATCGTCAAACGACGCACTTTTAATTCTGTTCTAGTTCTCTCACATTTCTTTGGCTTTGCCCGGCGCATGACAATGAAGAGGAATGTTCATGGCCGCGTTCACAACAGCACGCGCTGGATCCTACCGGAGCCAATCAAATATAATATTATCCTCCCATCTACACCCTAATTTTAAGCAGTTTGGCGACAGACGTGGGGAAACGAACACCAGGAAAGTGGGGGTTGCAGACTAGACCGGGGTAGCCGACTCTCGTCTGATCTGTGATGGACGCTAGAATACGCCAATGAGACAATTGTAAATACGATCCATTTGGTGGGATCGGTTATTGTATTAATGTTTCCAGAAAACAAAGAGTCCACTGCCTTGCCCCCGCAACATAACCTGTATTCCACAGACTGCAATCGCGTGTCCAGCGCTCTTTCGGAGGAAGATAGTTGTCATTGGGAATATAACACGGGGCCATTTGATACGACTGTGGCTTTACGCGGCACAACGAGCAAGCGATACGTTCCAAAGGGCGTTGGTTCTGTTGTCGGCATGAAGCAGGCAAACACAAGGACGCAAAAGCGGGCGTTTCTATTAACTATGTCTTTTGCGTGTTCCTGCGCCTGGTTTCATCCCCAGTCATGAACTGCGACCAATCGTCAGAGGAGGCGCTGGCGACATACGAGAAAAAAATGTAGGGAAGTCTCATTAACGTGAATTTCAAGGGCTCCGAAAAGCAACCTAATTCCCAGCACATCGTAAAAACAAGAAGATGAAAGTCACGGATCACAAAAGCTTCGCAACGTTCTTCGTCCTACTGTCCGTTTACTTACTCGGCTTCGTCAAGATACCGGTGTACCAAAAGGAGCGTAAAAATGTACATTCCAGAGTCACCGCTCAGCGCTGTCGCCTGACAGCCACAGGATTGTCAGGTTCGTCCGTCGCCAGTTTCAAATTTGTGCCCACTTCCAGAACGCTGGGCGTTTTCCGCCCAATCTGGGGCTCGCTACGTCAGACGCAAGTCGGGCAAGTGATAATCAGACCGCGATGGTACTTAAGCACTGACAGACTCACAAAAAGCACAGAGCGAAGTAAACGAACAGAAATGGCGGGTATCACTATACGTAAGTTCCCTTCAGTATGTAACTCGTTTTACCAGTACCTCAAAGTTGGCTGCGACCGTGTCCTCCCACATTCATTAGCATTTATCGACATAAATGACTTTGCTATTCGACCATTTTCGTGGATTAACGGAGAACCAACCAAACGCCGTACAGATGACCCCATTCTTTGGATTGCGCCGTCAACACGAATTGCGGGCTGAGACCCTTCCATGTGACAGCTGATATCAACGAACACGTGTGTAAGAAGCAGCCCACTTGTTCGGCAAGGGTACTGATAAAGCGACTTGCGTGCGTTTTATGTTCGTGCCTACTGATACTGGCCCCTTGTCACCACGGTGTTGCTCGTCCTCGGGTCACGGTTGCGGGAGAAGGCCTCCAGATATGGACAATGGAAAAGCAGTCGCGGGTTGTCACGAAAACTGGTTCCCCAGTTCGAAGGTGGAGCGAGGCACAACCCGTTCGAAAGTAGGCAGCAGTTTCATGCATCGAAACGATATTTCTCCAAACTTTAACGCAGAATCGGATACCACATTTCGTCGAAACCTGATCCGCGCTCATTCCTTTCACTTTCAGCAACGAACACACAAGGAAAGTCCCAATCACGTCTGTCCGTGGCCCTTCAGAGAAAGTCAGGAAAATCTTGTACTTACCAATTTTTCCGTTCGGACTGTACGGCTCGTAGCTGCCAGAGGACAGTGGAGACGAATACCCGTTAGAGATAACCGTGTATGGATGTCCTGGAGGTCCCGGAGAGGGTGTGAGAGGAGGTAAATGTCCCGCGGAAGCAGAAGATGGCGAAGGTAACCAGTCATCGGCTCGAGGTCGTTTGTTGCTTGCACTGATACCACTAAACAAGCCTCCATTCGACGTCGCTGCGCCCCCGCTGCTACTTGGCGCCACACCCGACGTGGCCGTCGCGCTAGATGCGAGGTGGTGACCCAGTTCGATCCCCGACGCCGTAGTCCCTACACTGGGGTCACATGGACTGTGCACCCGGGGCTCAGTTTTTACGCTGCTCAAGAGAAACTCACTGCCACTTGCACTGGCCCCCAGACCGCTTAGTCCCGCCTTCATGATGCTATCGACAATACCAACATCACCACCATCACCTCCGCCCCCCACGCGGTAAATTAATTCGTGCTTCACGTCCATGACCCCTTGGCCCCCCTCAAACACAAAACAATTGCTTATATAGTCCGAAAACGCGTGGGGGACTCTCCGATTCACGGTGTCGTTGCGGCTATTACCGCCGTCGGCGATCCATAGCGACGCCACCTCCGAAGACGAGACGAGTGGGCGGAGGCGAAGACGTCGGGCGACGTCTCAATCGACTTCCGATCACAGCAATTACACCGGGTGGTTCACAAGGACGCTCTGTTTGATTCGGTTGTCATCTGAAACAAACGAAAGGTCGCCAAACAAATTATTCCACGCTCATTGCAACCTCAAGAAAGTTTACAACGCGACGAATAACATCAACATTAAGAGGCAGGACAGAATCCACGTAACGTTTCTCGTCTACAGCTTCAATTGATCAAGGCCCTCCGACCAGTTCCAGCCGATACATCAGACAGCGGCCCATCGCCAGACCGCGCGACCTACACAAAAAAGGACGCGGACACACGTCCCATGCCTTTCCTCGGGCTCGAACCCACGACACGAGGATTGGAAGGGCCGAAAACCGTGCGCGGGCCGGAGCATAAGGAAATATCTTTGTTGCTGTTCCTGTGATAGATCCACTGCATTTTGGCAGCAGAGCGGTGTTGACTATTTGTCAATGTTCGTGATATAAAATCCAAGTATCGACGAATGTGCAACGCTGTATTCACAAAAAGACATGCAATATGTCGCTGGCTGAAAGAGAGAAGTTCAAAGGTAAAGGAATACACAAAAAAGGCAATTATGAGATAACAAGGCAACAGATAGGACTGTGTGTGGGACTCCATAATGGTCGCACTGAGCTCAGAAATCGTTGTTCTGTATCGGCAACCCCCGCTCGGCTTTGTCTTTGGTAAATCGTAGCTTGCCGCGGGTGAAGAAAGCTTGCAGAAATTGTTGAAACAGGGTCGCCACTGCGCCTAAAGCTTGGCCCGTGCACCGACGTTTCTGTGGCGTCCCTAATCCCTCCAGGAAGGTTTCGGAAAGGTAGAGGCCGCATCCTTCCTCATCCTCATCCTCCTCCTACCTGACAGCATCGTCACATAACTGGACGGCAAAGGGCCCCGTTGTCCGCACTGTCCACCACAAATCCCACTCGAACCCGGGGCAGCGCGGTCAGAAGCCGGCGACTCACCGACTGTGCCATTATCTGCGTGTTAGCAACAGACTTTCACAAGTTACGTTTTGTTTCACGTTTGCATCTTTTTTATTCTTATTCTGTTTCAAGTGGTTCACAAAATGGCGGCACAGAGCCTCCCGTATTATACGAGCGACGTGTTCAAGGTGAGCGTGTCCTTCCTTATTATCATCGCGGCCAGCACAACTATTTTTCTTTATAAAACCACGAACCGGGGAACGCTAGAGATCATGTGACTCCCTTCGACCAACCACGAAACTGAATCCATCACAGCAGACGACACAATGGAATTGGTCAGAAGGACGGAGAGGCAGGGGTTCGAATCTCGACGTGACCACACAAAAAAGTTCTTTTGTGGATGAAACAAGAAGAGCGAATGGGGATTTTGGTTCTAGTCGTCTTGCGTTCGCAGGGGCGGCGCAGAACTCTGCCGTCAACATTACTGCTGGTCTCCTGCGGATAAAACTAGTAGAAAACAGCCTTCATGCAACAGCGTCCTCCCTGAGAACATCCAACCATCACAGCGGTGATTCCGAAGACGCTGTCTCCCGGGATGCAGTAGTCTGGTAGAAGTTTGCCGACGTTGCAGAGGTCCTTGTCGCCTCCAACTACCAGACTACGCGGTGCAGTCCAGAACCTTCCACCCTAGGGTTTTAAGATCTGCACCCCGGGAAATTTCAAAACCAGGACATTATAACCGACGGCACTCGTTTCATCCGCAGGCCATACACACCTTTCGTCCTAACCGCATCAAGGTCTCGCTTCGAAACGTCAGCGCCATGAACATGGTTGCCAGATCTTTAGTCCATTGTGAATGTGTGAAGAGTTTCAATGCGGTCGGTACGGAAACGTAAAATGACTTATTACTAATGCGGTAATATTAATATTGTGCATCGAAAAACATGGCCTCCCGCTTGATGTTTGTCATTATTCAAAAAAATAAATAAGGTCACTTGGAGCATCTTAGACTATTGTCTTTTTGTTAAGTAAAAAAACTCTATTTAAATGCAAAAACATAAATTACGCGATTACAGGGATTTTTAAAAAATACTGCGACCAAAGTCTTGGCGTTGTGCTATTCTTTTCGCTCATGTTCTAACGACTGCTTCCACTTGCCTACTCTCATGAGAAGCTGACAGTAGCTCAGTTGATCAACAAATTCTCCGACTTTTGATGGAACTTCAAAATGCTTTACCTCAGACCCTCCGCGCAAATACGAGGCTGGCACCTCAGACAAGGCCACAACCAGTGCCTCCGAAAACTAGGATGATTCCAAAAAAAATATGAGCGAAACACAAAATATAAGAAACCCAAAGGAACGTAAATAAGTACACATACTCCCAGTTTATTCCTCCAAGGAATAAGGGAAAAGACGTCAAGGACGAGTATCGTCCTGCCACCTCAAGAATTTGAGAATAAAAAATAAAAATGTGTGCGCGCGCGTGCGGGTAACGACGCTGGCATCAGTCCTCCTCCCAGAGGATCATTATCACTCATTAGTAATGATGTTAATGATGAAGGATTATCCCCCCACCTCTCGATCGGAGCATGCTTCACGTTATCATCAGTTACTGGCATGAATTTGGACGAGCCTCCAACGGCATAACCTCGAATTGTGTTGTGCACTACGTCAGTTCGTAGGATTACAGATAAACGAGGTGCGATCTTAGCTGAGAGACGCGACAGATAAACAGAATAGCCCCATTAAGATGTTCTTCCCTGCCAAAAACACCGTAAGAGGCTATTACACGCAAACTGGTTTCCGTCCCGCGAGTGTGGGTTCCTAGTTAGCGCGATGCGGCTAATGCTGGGGGCGTGGATCGAGAAGGCGGACTCCAGATACGAAACGCACCTGCCAGTACGTATATCGAATAAGCTGTACCGGACAGATGGCGCGTGGTAGTCTGTAGGTACAACCAACCGAGTCGATGTTGCACAGCCCATCAAATTCGGCAAATTCCCGTTCTACGCACGACTAAAAGTAACTAACTTTCGGGGTTCCATCAAATACATGACTATCAGCTTTTTAAGGATAACTCTGCTACTACCTACAGAAGGTCGGACGGGAAAATGCAGTTAATTTGAAGCGATCTTATTTTGTAATTTGTATTCAATCCGACAGCAACCTTGAGGACTTCCGATGGCTTCGATAAGGAAGGATCGCCTCCCTGCAATACAAAGTACATAGATTTTAATCGCTTTGCGTTTAAAACTGAGTGAGAACTTCGTTATATGATCAGAGCAAATCGCACAGGCCTTCGTAGGCCTGGCAATTATCCGGCTCAGATTATTCTGACCGGATATTCCAATAAATACTAACCGTTACCTTAAAACATAAAATCCGTTTGTCTCTCCGTTTCTTTCTGTAGGAAATCATAACCATAATGGCACGCGCATAAAGCGATAACAGGCCCCTTTGTTTCGGTGCCACGCAACCACGCACGACTAATGCATAAAACGATGCATTTCGCATTTATAAACTGCAACACCCGCCACAAGGTGTCAATGGAAACGACATCAGATTCCACGTTCAAAAGAACGTGGAATCTGCTGTTTCCCTTACGAACAATTTAACGAGAACTGAGAACAGCATCTTCACTTTCGTGCAGTGGACAAACACAGCGCCTTGGGTGAGGTGTGAGATTACGAAAGCGTTTCGTCCGCCATAACAGTAATGCGACTGCCAAGGCCACCATTACTTTTCTGCTGACATCCAACAAACCAGAGCGAAGGCCTGGCAACCAGAACAAATCCGCTGCCCCTCCTCTCGATCGGGCGAAGAACACCGTGTTCTTTTGGAGAAACGTACTGTCTACCCTGAACATGGACGCCATACGCTTCTCCGAAACGATGGCGTCCACCAACCAGAAGAACGTTTTCGCCGTCACTCCCGTGGAAACCTCGAAGCCAAGACACATTCACGTTTACACGGTTGTGTTCACAACTTGCATTGTTCAAATGCCTAAGTTAAAATAATCACTGCTCTGAGGGGTCACTGGTACCGCCCGAATACGATTTTCCAATACAACCAAACCTACAGCCAGTGAAACCCGGACAGTCTAGTCCTGGCTGAACTAACACGACCGAATTAATTACACTTCAGAAAGAAAAATAACGCCATTTAATAAAAGTCCCGCCAGCCTACCGAAATTGCATGCATATACAACCAACTTGGCCAAGTCAGCGTTCTGCATAAATGCAAATGTTGACCGCCATAACGTTTGATGTTGTGCAAACGAGTGGGTAAATAATAACATGGACCAGTCCCCAAATGCGCCACACAGCAAATAATTGTAACTGGAATTCTGCATCACAGTATATTACTTTGCAAAAGGGGTATGAAAGGAGCACGGTTCAAAGATACGAGACTCTTTGCACACTAGAAATTGCATTTCTCGTTCACGCGTAGGACGTCTAACAATTCTACCACCGTACGAAGACGCACTCGCTGGCCTACACCAAACATCCTCCGTGAACGTCTTATTCCTTTCTTCCTTCGAGGAAACACAGATTCGAGGCCAATGGGGGTCGTACGACAGCCACAAAAACGGGGCGATTTCATGCCAGAGAACCGATCATATAGTCACGTGACACAACAGGTCCACGCGCCAAGTGATAGTGCAGGCAGGCTCTGAAGAAACAACTCCGGTTATATAACTGCCAGGCGTTGCACGTCGCATAGAACTGGGTCCACCGATTATGGCCGCTGATCTTGTAGGGAGAGCCCAATATGAGGACCACTAAACGAATGAAGGAAGGAGTTCCCGTCGGTCAGTACAGTCTGTGTCAGTGCAGCAGTGCGAAAGCCCGATATTGTTGTCTTGTGATTGTACTGTGTTGCAATCTCCTACCCGGTCATTGATAACGCTTCGTACCACAACACTCAGACAGAAAGACCACAGACGTCTTAATCAAAGAAGGACGAAATGAAAGGCTGGCTATTGGAAAGAAACATCCCATTTTGTGACATGTTGAAAGCTCAACTGTACGATTTAAACAAATTAAATACGTCAAAGCACAATTATTATGTGATTGGGCACGCGTGGTCACTAAGTCACGTTTCGGCAATCTTACGTTATGTTACGAACGGATCGGTTA